CAGTGTATTTCATTAAAGGCCCGTATCCTAAATAGGGCACTAGCACTACGAAGTAGCACTACGCACTACAAGCCGTAGTGCGTGCGGCTACAAGCCGTAGTGCGACATGGAACACTACGGTTGGCATGCTAAATAGGGCACTAGCACTATGAAGTAGCACTATGCACTACAAGCCATAGTGCGGCATGGAACACTACGGTCGGCATGCTAAATAGGGCCAAAAGCATAACGCTCACTACAAAAATCTGAAGTGTCCTACACACCGCACTTCACGACGACACTACGGTATATTTCACCTTGTTTACTTCGTCAGCTATGGATCTGTTGGGCTTACAGCAAAGGCATCATCGCGTAAAAACCTCAGGAACTACATGCCATGAATATAAAAAAGTGTACCGCTTCAGTGAGCAACATGTTATTCTTATGGCTAACATTTTCCTTGGCGAAACAGATGAACAGCGTGGGCATTCTTTAACAAGAAAGGAAAAGTACTGGAGTGTTTCCTCAGATATGTTGGAGATCCTGGATACCAGATTAATGTGGGTGAAAAAATATCCGTCCATCAGTCCACTATAAGTAGGGTCATCCTCGATGTAGCTGAGAAAATAGCTTCTAAATGCAAGGATTACATACATTTCCCCACAACTGCAGAAGAATTACAGGAAGCCCAACAAAACTGGGGAGTGAGATTCACTCACCCATATGCCATCGGTGTGATCGACGGAACATTGATCCCCATACAGAAACCTGCAGCGCGATATCATCCAGACGAATATATCTGTCGAAAAGGATTTCATTCCATCAATGCTCTTGTGACATGCGACGTGAATGAAAAATTCACAGCGGTTGACATCCAATGGCCAGGATGTACTCACGACGCCCGAGTTTTTCGCAATTCTGTTGTAAAAACTATTTTGGAACAAGAAAATGGAGATTCTTCTGCAAGAACTTTCCATGCTTCTCTCTTTTGTTCAATGTCTTTGGGAAGCGTGGACTTTGAATATTTGATGGGGAAGGTGCGCAGACGCGTTGCGAATTTCAGCTCACCATCACAATTTTCACTAGTACCATTACCATCACAATTAGACATTTTACATCAATCTTCTGCAAAGAATGAGAATTACTTAGGCAATAATTAATTATTTGAGCACTTAACCACCATTCTTCAATAGACTAATAGCGTAGTGCGGCACTATAAAGTACTCTAACATCGAAGTAGCACTTCAAAGTCTTTCTGCATACGAACCAGTAGTGCGACACTAAGCGACACTAAACATTGTAGAGCTACTTCGAAGTGCTTAGTGTCTGTGACGTATTTAGCATACCAACAGGATACTTCGTAGTGCGTAGTGCTACTTCGTAGTGCTAGTGCCCTATTTAGGATACGGGCCATATATAGTCTAATCATTACTTTTCAGACTTGATGCGAACATTTTTTTTCATGCATAAATTTCAAGAAATGAGGCAAGAAGTAATCTCCACTACGTTTTCATTGAATTGAGCATCATTTTCGGGAATTTAGGGTGTTAGGAATTTTGCATCGCGTTTCAGCAATTTCAAATTTCACATTCGTAGCGTTATCGAATTTCATACCAAAACTATCAGCTACTTCATCATTGCAGGGCAAAAAGCTGTCTCGTAGTCTAAGATGGCTAGAGACTTAAAATGCCAATAAGCAGTTTCATATCAGAGCAAAACGGCAGGACTATTGACTATCGAATGAATCATTTTGGACGACTCCTTAATCTCACATACAAAAAATTCGTTTAGCATAGTAAATCTTAGCATACGACAAAGATAATTACTTCATATCAACACGTGCAATGATTTGATTCTATCAAACCATCATTTTTTCTTTTATTCCAGTCGAGAGAGTGAAGACTTCCGCTTATGGAAGATTATAATAAGTCTATAAATATTCAAAATCAGGATGAATGATGATCACTAAATACAACGAGCGTCAATAATTCATACCAGACAGATTACCTGTCATCGTTACTACCTATAATTTTTACTGAGGTGAATTATTGGAGTGACAGTTTGTTCTGAATGCAGTTCATAAGTAACGATATATTAAAATTACAAAGAACCTACAAATCTTCTTCATTCGTATTAACTGCCAACACAGAAGGGTTGCTGCATCATTATATCCAACGAAATTGCCGAATTACTCTTTTTTTTATCTAGACACATGCATTTGGCTATCAATTTTTAAGTGGATACATTTATCTCAAAGATTAATGTTCCGACAGTATCAAATTAGTTCCTGCTTTTAAGATTCGAATACTGAAAACGGTCTCAGTATTTATATCGGTAAACTCGCAATACACATGAGCGGAGCAGAGTAAATGGACAGACAATGATAGGTAGCAATGATAGGTAGCATCTATTCACTATCATCATCTTATTGATTTCATTAAATTGCAATGCAATGCACTACTCACTTGACGAGAGGTTTAGCCATAAGGTCGTGGTCGACTGGGTTGCGCCAGTCAAGTCCTGGGTTGCGCCTCAGTTCGTACTACAGTTTATTAAGTATGCACTGAAACTACGTGGTGGTGAAACACTTGACGTCACAGCAAATTGAGGTCAGTACTTTGGTTATCTTAAATTTTGTTTACGATTTCTCACAAAACCTATCTAAAGATGACCTCTACGGTAGCATTAATTTGGCGGTCACCTTTCTTTTCCAGTAACCCATAACGTTCGATATGACGCGTCGCAGGATGATTAACATTTACTTTTATCCACATTTATTAACCATACCGCAAACGGTTTCTGAGAGCAAAATAAAAGAACAAATGTACAACAAGAATGAAGAACTAGTGATTCAACGTTACAATAATTAAAAATTAGCATTAAATTTTCTAATTAATAGATCTTTACCAAACAGTTCGGGCACCGTGCCGTCGCACCAGTCACAAGCCATGAATAACACAAAATGATCTTTTCATCCGAACTTGCTTACTTCTTTAGAGTAATTTTCAGTAAACATTACTGAATAAAGACGAACTAAAATGTGCGCTTGCACTATCTCTTCCTATTATCCCTTAATTTTTTTGTAGGTATTTGGTAATCCTGACAAACGCTGTTTTCCGATTGTTAATGCTAAGACTGAAACGTCCATAGCCTGAGCTGTGTTCAAATCGTGGTTTATTATATAGTAGCAGCTGAACATGGTGTAGCTGCGCCTCATGCGTCACTAATTTCTGTACCGCGATTTTCCTTGCCAATTTTTTGCGATGAACAGTTTTTTCTTGTATTTGTTCTCTTAAATTTGTACTCATTTTTGTCATTAATGTCGTTGTCTGCCAATTTTACCAGCATTTTCATTTAGAGAAGAAGCCTGTTCACACTGGGGCACATGCCGGAGGCCAGCTTTGCCAAATATCACACTTAGTTCATATTCCTTTCCATTAGTAAGAATGCTAGAGTGCACAACGGCCAATGAAGTCAAGTGCTCAAGGTCATATAGCGCCGGATGTCCACAGCCACAAATAAGCTTGCCAAAGGTAAACATGGCCAAACCGCATCTGGCCTAACCTCTATAGGCCTAACCTATACGAGCGGCAACCTTTCTCCACCCAAAACAAACCTGAGCGGACCTAACCTAACCTCATTGGCTGCAAGAAGTTAGAAAGGCGGTCCATGTGTGCTGGTAGAGCCAGTCATTGGCCGCAAGAAGGTTGTGAGCCGGGACAGCGTGAATAGGTTAGGCCAGAAGAGGTTAGGCCGGAGTAGGTACAGCCGGATGGGGAACTGCCTGCTTATGAGCGAGCATGCTTAAGCAGTGGCTTAAGACTTACGGCGCTATTATCTTTCGGCAGTGTGTCGCTAGTCTGGATTACGGAGTTCAAGCGTAGACGGCGGCTTCTAGTTCTGAGGCTGAGTAAAGTTAATGCATGGTGAAGCAAGGCGTTGGCTCCAGGGCTTATTTAGGAGTAAAATTTGTGGCCTACGGCTGCGCCCCCTTCATAGTGATCAACCGATGCTCGTCACTTTCGTTCTGTCAGTCGCGAAGCACTTTGAATTTCACTGATGTTGAATCTTCAGTGAATAGTTATTGTGATGTGTGAACTTGCGTGTGATATTTATAAGTAGTTATATTGTGTCATTTAAATTTGTGTTGTGATGTAATTTTGTTTGAAATAACTAGGAATAAGTATTATAGCCGAATTTTGTTAAGTTTATTAATTTTGTTTACAGAATCATTAGTACACTACCACCAACAATAGATTCGCTACAAGCTACTTTGGGTTCATTTGTTATTGCTTCTGTATTTACTCTTAATCTTTATTATCCTCCAGTGCCTTCGTTATCAATAAAGTGTCAAAAATATCAAGTTCACTTCCATGCAGGGTTAAAGTTCGGTTGTCTGACTGGCGCTGACGTAAGAGCGTTCGGAAGTCACCGTGGCGCTTACAATGGCATTTCTAGGGATAGGGATATACTTGAGATTAGAGTGTCGCGAATGTTTTAATAGAAAGACCAGCTCAAACCATCCATTAATTTTTAATTTCAGTTTAATAAATGTTCAAAGTTTGTGGCAAATTGGAATTTTTATTTTCTAAAAAAATGTCAGTCTAAATCAGAACCAAAAATTAATATTTTGCTTTTTTAAACAAAATAAATGGCGGATTGCAAATGTCATACAAACAAAGAAGAGTTTAATGAGTAGTTTACCAATAAATACATTTATGCATTATTTAATGCCTATATAAATTATTTTCCATTTATTATAGGCACAATTTCCCCATGCTATAGTAACACAGTAGTAGTCAATTAAAAACATTCATAATTCTCAATCTCACTCCATCGCCGCAATTTCTATAGTTATTCCTCTTTACTCTGTCGAAGGGAAGATCTACTGTAAATATTCTAATATCTTGAAAAACTTGTTGAGTTTTCAACCTTATCTGCTTTATTGATATTAAAATGTAAAGAAATAACCACGATTTCATTGATTAATGTAAAAATTTTGTGTGTTAGGACTTAGGACAATGACGACCCATCCTCTACTGCTCGCTGGGCTCTCCTTCGCCTGGTATCTCACCTACGTGGCTGGGCTCGGCAATACAGCGACATTCACTGCTAAGTCTTCGGGTGCGTTCTCTGTATGATGCTCGGTGTCTTGCGAATAACCATGTCTTTAATGGTATTCATGTATCCACAGTGAATTAAGCTCATATTAATTCAGTTGAAATCAATACTCAATTGCTTACATTTTAAGCAAGTTCCCCCAACAAATGAGATTAATTTATCAATTATTGCTTTGAAATTAATTCTGATATCCCTGTCATTGCATGATTTAAACAAGGAATAACATTACGTGACGAGAGTCCCTCCATTTTGTTCCTATGACGACAAATACAATTTACCTCCTGTGTGTGATTATATAAGACGAATGAGAATAATGACAGTCCTGAAAGCTTATACTCTTATGGTCTGGATCATGAATTCTAAAGTTTCTGTGTTAGCATATTATGATACAAAATACTATAAGATTTTATGTAAATTAAGAATTTCTCCAAAACTTTCATTAGTTTCGATCACCTAAAACAGAAACAAGCAAGTGGAAAAAAATAAAATAAAACTACAAAAAGCTCAGAGATTATAAAATGTATCCTAAATTTTTAACCCAAATCAGAGAGAAAAAAAATGGAGGTTTCATTTTGACATGTGTTATTTCACCACTGAGGAAGATCTATGGGTCACAATAATGTTGTATTATATTGTTAACCAGCTCGTTTGTAATGTACTCATTACTCACATGATAGGGACTTAAAATATGAGAAACTTTATTCACTTCTGATGGCAAATATTATGTAATAGTTGAAGAGAGTTTCATGTGTACTGTATGAGCTTTTATCAAAGAGCATACCGGAAGATGTTTCGGATAGATGGTGGGATGTTTGGAATTACTAAACTTTTCTCACTCCCTGGAAACTGTAAATACTTATTTTTATGAAAATCTGATGGTAATTTTGAGTGGTGAGTTTGAAGACATTTGTGTTCCCTGATTTTTATTCATGCAACACACGGTTCAACTTGAATTGCTTTAATAATTTCTTTATCACGAAGAATTCATAGGACTACACGTGTGGAAGCACGCGAGGAATTAATGCCGCGTGAATTATAGGAATGCCGTTCAGATGCAATTTAGGAAAAAGCGTGACCATTTATGGAAGTTCAATTCTTTCATTCTACTTCACTGTCTTAAGATATCAAATTATCCTTAACTTAAGTAAATGTTACCGTCTAAGTCTCATGTTAAAAAACAATTTCAGGAAATGGACAGCGCTTCTCAGGAAGTCTTCTGCTGAGCACAAAAGTGAGCGGTCCACTGGAGTGCTTGCGTTTGTGCGGAGATGTTACGCCACTCTGCTTCTACTTCAACTACAAAGGTGACGTACACTAAACTAGTAGTTATTTAATTAGTTTGGTGACCAAATGTTTACTAGCGCTTCACTATTTAGCTATCTCGCACCGGAAGTCAAGATGAACATCACCAAAGAGGTGGAAGGTCTCAGTTATCGAAAGTTTTTTTAAATAAAAAAATCATTCCTCGCCCACAAGGGGCGGAAGGCCTCAATTGTCCAGCCCACTGAAGCTGGCTCGAGAGGAGCAGCGTTAGAATCTCAAAGAGACAAAGTGACAAGGAGGGACAGGTGAAAAGCAACAGAAACTAAGACTCTCGAACAAGAGGTCGCTTACACGGGATTCCGCCGCCCGCACAAGAGACTGAGAAGGGAAGTGTATGGAAACCTACCTACATAACTTAACCACACAACTGCGACCAACGGTCAGACACCGCGAGCTCAGCGGTGGGGCGCTCAGGAACAATCCCCTAGTAGCGCGAAATCCCACAGGACTTCTGACGAGCAAAGACACGCGTCCGAAGTCCCTCTGAGAAGACAGCAAACTGGTAGCTCAACTAGCCTCAGTCTGGTGCCCAATGCTCAAGAAGTGCCCTGTCTTCATTGCTCGACAGAAACAATTTAATCAGAACTCAATCGTGCATTTTTGAGGTCTAATTTTCCATAACTTACAGAGTTTTTTTTTATAAGTTCGCGATACAGGAATGTAGCTGGGTGAGTTATCGAAAGGAATGGTTTTGGCCAGGGTGGCATCGTCGCCTCTGCCACTTGGCCCGACCAGCCAGCATCCAATCCAACAGTGTACGGGTACCGCTACAGCGTAGAATATAAGCCGTAGATGCTGCACAGATAGAGGGGCATATTTGAGGTGTAGTTTGATTATATATAAATGGACGTTCTTGATGATGACTTCACATGGATATTCGTTTTTTAAAATCAGCTCAGTTTCACTAATGCAGACCATTCGAACGAATGGGGTGTATGACGGCAAGCAGAGTCGTGTTTTTTTTTTGTTCCAAAAGAAGAGACGAAGTTTACTTTGGTTCAGAACACGAAGTATATAATGTGCTCATTTCTTACAGGCGATGTTTTCCCGGCGACAGAAGCAAGGAAATAGCGTTTAGAGAGAGAAGTTTTGCTAACTGTTGCCAACTATTATTTTCTCTGCAATAAAGTCACCATCTATGTTTGATATTAAAACGATTTTGATGTACAATTTTTTAAGTGAAATTTAAATTGCATTCCAAAAAGCCAAAGGGTTAGGTTTCTTCATAAAAGATGATATATAGCGATTATTTTGTCATTTATAATACTGAGTACATATTTTTGGTGGAGTTCTTGGGTTGAAATTGAAATAGTTAAGAATTTAGCGTTTATAACATTTGTGTTCAATAAATTTTGATCTTCTGCAAAGAAATCATGCTTATAATTGATGTCACTGCGAGTACGTAGTGAGTGAGAACTTGGTATGATAGATTCTTCATAGAACATGAAATGTTGTGATTTAACAAGAATGATTTTCCTTTGTAACATTTTCCAAATATCAAAAGTCTGCTGATTTGAAATAAACCAGCAAAAATATTACCAGAGCCCTCAAGTAAACGTTAGCAAGCCATTTTGTGGAATACATGCTCATGCTATGCTGTGGTAGCCATAAAAATGAAATCTAACATCACTATTGAGCCAGACAATACATCACTATTGAGCCAGACAATGCATCACTATTGAGCCAGACAATACATCACTATTGAGCCCGACAATACATCACTATTGAGCCAGAGAATACATCACTATTGAGCCAGACAATACATCACTATTGAGCCATACAATGCATCACTATTGAGCCAGATAATACATCACTATTGAGCCAAAGACAATGCATCACTATTGAGCCAGACAACACATCACTATTGAGCCAGATAATGCATCCCTATTGAGCCAGACAACACATCACTATTGAGCCAGATAATGCAGCACTATTGAGCCAGACAATACATCAATATTGAGCCAGACAATACCTCACTATTGAGCCAGACCATACATCACAGTTGAACCAAATGGATGTCAATAATACGAAAATATTCACTTTGGAATTTTGTGCTGGAGATTTTTATTGCACAGTTTCTTTTTCCTTCCTAAAAGTCAATACAATGTGACAATTTGCGATTAAAAATAATATTGTCCAGCTGATGAAATAATAATTTTCTTTCGACACCCGTGTGCCTTTTGTGACACTCTGTTTACCATTGACCCACAAATGTTGAGAAATAGATTAGCCGTCCTTTAGATAGATAGCCGGCCCTTTAGATGTCATTTTTTCGAAAAACTTTGAACGAAGGAATGTTGCCGGCTGACTGGAGAGAAGCTCAAGTGACACCATTGTTCAAAAAAGGTGACAGAAGCTGCCCGGGCAACTATCGCCCTGTTAGATTGACAAGTGTCGTTTGCAAGGTAATGGAATCTGTTGTGAGGGATCGATTGATGGACCATTTGACTGCTAATAATCTCCTATCAGACTGTCAACATGGCTTTATTGCTGAGAGATCCTGCACCACTAACCTCTTGTCTACTCTGAACGAATGGACCCGCCTGCTGGACGAAAGGGAGCCAGTAGATGCAGTGTACCTCGATTTTGCCAAGGCATTTGACAGTGTCCCACATGAACGGCTGTTGCGGAAATTGCAGTCTTTAAGAATTGACAGAAATGTACTCAAATGGATCAGAGATTTTCTAGTAGAGAGACGACAACGTGTCAGTATTAATGGGGCCTTATCAGACTGGGCTCCAGTGCGCAGCGGCGTGCCACAAGGAAGCGTTCTCGGGCCTGTTTTATTCGTTGCGTTTATAAACGATCTGTCAGAAGCGGTGTCTAGCGTGTGCTCGATGTTTGCTGACGACACAAAAATTTATAATACAGTGAAGAATATGTCGCAAAAAGTACAGTTACAAGGTGATTTTGACAGGCTGGTTGACTGGGCTGATAAGTGGCAGCTGCGTTTTAACGCTGACAAATGTAAAGTAATCCACCTTGGCAAGAATAATGAACAGCAAGATTACAGTATAAGAAGACACGGTTGCAACGACAGAGTGATGATGTCGAAGTCGACAATGGAAAAAGATTTAGGAGTTAATATCGACAATGAGTTGAAGTTTTCTAAGCATATTGAAGGTCAAGTTAATAAAGTCAATAAACGACTTGGACTGATCAGACGCTCTTTCGCGTTCCTAGATGCAGAAGCGTTGAAGCAGTTGTTTGTTGCTGTCGTGCGCCCGAACCTAGAGTTTGGAAACGTCGTGTGGTCACCGAAACTTGAAAAGGACAGAAATTAAATAGAGAGTGTTCAAAGACGTGCAACAAGGATAATTCCGGGCTTGAAAAGCAAGTCCTATGAGGAAAGATTAAAGATTATGAAGATTCCAAGCCTCAGTTATCGACGTCTGCGTGGGGAACTCATTGAAGCTTACAAGTATATTCATGGCTTATACAAGGTTCCAGAAGGATTACTAGTGAAACAAGAACCAACACCAGGGGCCACAGCTATAAACTAAAAAAACTGCGGTGCAACACACCCACGCAAAAACATTTCTTCTCGCTTCGAGTCACCGACATGTGGAACAGCCTCCCTGATAGTATCGTTGACGCTCCCTCCGTTGACGCTCCGTTGACGCTCCGAGTTCAAGAACAGACTAGACGAAGCTATGCAGGAGTATATGTTCAGTCTTAAAATGCCTATCAAATTCCGGACCAGGCAATAAGTCCAGCAGCTATCTCAATCAATCGTCAGTTATGGAAAGATCGGGTTCCAAAGGCCGGATCCCTTGTGAATCAAGTCACGAAAATTCAAGAATCGGCAACAGGCCATGGCCCTATTTCTTCAGTGCCGACATTTCTATTCTATTCTATAGGAATCCGTATTATATGTCCTTTCGTATTTCTAAGGGATCGCTATAGGTAGAATTTGCTAGGTCTTCAATTTTTTCAATGTTATTAAATCCGTTAATTCACTCCGCTTGGTAATGTATTCCGGTGTAACTGTTTATTCAAGCAGAATAAAATTCTTTGGGCGTATATGTTAATTGGAACGCATAACGTAATTAGAATAATATCAATTTTTTATGGGTTGAGTAGGCAATTCTTATTCTTGCCGGACATTAGGACCGCTGAATTATTATGTCTGGTTCGCAGGCGGTGCGTGTGAGCTGATGAACAACTGGACTACCCGTGTCGCTGCGCCAGGCTGGGCCTATTACACCATAACACCGCCGCCTGTAAGTTCTCATTTAAAAATTAATTTACTCCTCACGAATTAACACATTTTGTTACCACGAATCTGAAATTCATCCTTCCGATAACGCGTTACTCAAGGCCCAGCTGGGGCTGTCCTATTAGCCAATAACTGACGGCTAAACCCACCAATGTGCCGCTACGTGTACTTAATTTGAGCGAGTTTTGATTGTAAGGCTTCTGGTTGGCATAGCGGCGTAGCCTCAGAGCGTATTCTGGACTACGTAATGAAATCCTAGCATACTTCTCAGAGTTTTCTTCTCGTCAAGTTTTCAATATTTGTTTTTGCAGAACGATATGTTTAGCATCACGGGCGAGTATCAAGTGTCAGTTGCCTCTCGCTGACTTCCGTTCGACCACAAGAACCCTCGTGCGTTTCAAAACGTTCCGTTTTGAACCTTCCGTTCACGTTGAAGTATTTTAAAACATTCCGTTTGAATACCTGACCGTGGATTTTACTCAACTAGTTGACTGTATATGTGTTTCTAGGACTTGTGTTCTGAACTGACGATGGAGCTGGATTCCGATACGTTTTCTTTCATAGAGTAATGGAAATTTTTGTGGTATTGTCTTTGCTTCTAAATTCTTGGTTAATTTGCGATTTAAGCAAACAAGTGATTTCAATAATACTGAATATGTTAGAATTTTGAGAAAAAATAACGGATTCTGGAGGCGGAAGGAATCAAGTTCTTAGCAAGAGCTACTTTTAGCAGGATCGCTTCATACAAGTTAGTTTGATCCTGGACGGCACGTATTGGGCATCAAATTGAACGGCAAAAATTAGGCCATTCAGTTTTTGGTGTTCCATAATTAAGGTTTGAGTTAAGTCGAGATTGAGATTTAAGGGTGCGACACTAATGAGTAAATAAGTAAAATATCAGGCACTTTAACGGTAACGGGAGAGTTGCGCACCACAAAACAATCACCTTTTTAATACATCGAGAGCAATCGTACATGAAAACTGTGACGAACTAATCTTGAATCCCCGAATAGCCAATCGCGTCACCTCAGAAGCTCGGATGGTCTAATTTTCACGTCCACCAATGACCGGAAATTAAATGCAACTTCCCTAATGGATCAGCAAAGCTTGGACCGAGCGGATAGTTAACGCAAACGAACTTTCTTAAATTTATTAAAGATAAAGGGCAAATTGAAACTAAACAAATCACACTAACGATTTTACAGAGGTGCGGCACGGATTAAACGAACTAACAAATTAAATGCGGAGGAAGCGAAGTGCGAGGAGAGCAAAATGCGAGGAGAGAGCTAGAGCATGGAGATCTGAGAATAACGCACGATCCTACAACAGAAACCAAAAGTAAATGCATACAAATAACAAATCAAAATAATCACACAAATCACGATATTTCACCAAGTAATCATATTTAAATTTCACCACAATCGCACGCAACTCACTCTGGCATCTGAGACAAAACCCTATAAGAAAGGAACCAGTATGCAAGACGGGATCGGCATCGTATCTGATGGCTGTAACTAATTCAACGTCCACATCAGGGCCGGTCCTACTCAATCTGTGTGGTCTCGCAGCAAGTAGTGGAAATTTGCATTTTACTTCATTACAAAAACCAATGAGCGACGTTCAAACTAAACGGCGCGTTAGTAACGCGAGCACTACCTTTTCAGCGTCTTCAATGCCCCAAGCATTATGGGCCTTATTATGGGTGCTCAGAATGAAATTCAGAAAGGCTGAACTAAATACCACCTGTTTTAGAGCCAGGCTGTCGTACATGCTTCTTTCGATACCTCGTATTGAAGAACCATTCAATGCTGTTTTTTGCTTGCCTTGCTCATGAATGAATAATGTTTCAACACTATCGGACTAGAATATCTAGAATATTATTGGCAAAAAGATCCCTGTCCAAGCTGTCGCGCCCAGGCGGTTATAATGTAGTGGTGGTTGCCATCAGACCAGGAGACCTGCCATTAGGTAACATTCACTACATATTATGATTAACTTATTCTAATTAATTTTTACAACAGGGTCCGTGTTCCCGCAACTCGTGTCCAACAACACAAGTCTGTGTGCCGTACTCTCTGGAGACCGAGCTGCCGTACCACCCCGGTGTCCTGCCCCTGCCAGGTTATATCTGCTCCGGCGCCCAGTTCTATCTTGACAAGCGCAGTCAGAACAAAAGTTAGTATTCATATTTTTTGGATAGATATCGTGCTTGATCTGTTAATGTAACTCATAACAATTCAGATGAGAACTTAGAATAAATACTTTATATTTTCTTGAATCATCATATTTTTCATTCAAACATGAGAATAGGATTTGCCATTATCTTAGAATAAAATACACAGACGATCAAAAAAACCGCTACGAAAATCTGAAAATTTCTAATCTTTTTAGCAATTTCAAATGTTTAGCGCACCATATCCTGCACCTTCGTTCGATAAAGAAGTTTGGTGCGCGGCATAACCCAAACCTAGCCTTCCCAGGCAAGTTAAGATTTAAATATGTGACTCACGGCTGCGCTCCTAGATGAACAGACAACACAGACTCAGTTAATGCAACCTCTTGAGGCAATAAAAAGCGTGATGCATGTTGTAAAATCTACACAAATGCTCACCTTTTTTATTAAAAAAACTTGTCTCTGTTGCAAATAATGGCTCTTTCTACAGATGTGGTGGTTGGAAAAGCTACAAATGAATGATTCGACGCGTCCATAAGAGACGTCAGTCCGTATTTTCCTTTCCTGAAGAAGTTTATAAATATATAAAACGCGTAAAAACAATTCGAGTACCTTAGGTTTTCATGATCAAGCATTTATTATTCTAGCTTATGAAGTTGTGTCTTGTGCAAAACGCTTACGTTTTACGCCACAAAAAAGACCTAAGTTCGAAAATTAATTCAATTATAAATTTATCAAGTAAATTTGTGAAAAACAATTATTTCAAGCTTGTTGAGGTAAAAGCGCAATCCATATCTAAATTTCAGCCGTTTATTTTTCTGAAGCAATCACTGTGATCAATTCGCCTGCGTTTTAATATTCTGACATATCATGCGAGTTAAATTCATAACATAACTTAACATATATAGTGATGTCGGCGCTAAAGAATAGGACTGATGAGGCCTGTCGCCGATTCTTGAACTTTTCGCGACTTGTTCACTGATCTAAAATCGTGTCATTTGATCGGATCTTTTCAAGACTGACGATAGTTTGAAATAGCTACTAGACTTCCACCGGGTTCGATATGGTGCTAGGTATTTAAAATCTGAACATATATTTTTCCATAACTTCATCTAGTCTGTTCTTGAACGCGTTTATACTCGGAGCGCCAACGATGTAATAAGGGAGGCTGTTCCACATGTCGGTGAATCGAAGCGAGAAGAAATGTTGTCGCTTGGACAAGTTACAGCGTAGTTTTTTTAGTATATAGCTGTGGCCCCTAGCTGGTGTTGGTTCTTGTTTAAAATTCCAGTAATCCTTCAGGGATCTTGTATAAACCATGCTTATACTTTTACATTTCAATGAGGTCCTCACGCAGACCTCGATATCTGAGGCTTGGTAGCTTCATAATCTTTAATCTTTCTTTATAGAACTTGCCCTTCAAGCCTGGAATTATCCTTGTTGCACGTCTCTGAACATTCTCTATTAAATTTTTGTCCTTTTCAAATCTCGGTGACCACACAACGTTTCCAAACTCTAGATTCGGGCGCACGACAGCAACAAACAACGTACTGCTTTATCGCTTCTGCATCTAGGAACTCGTAAGAGCGTCTGATTAGACCAAGAAATTTGTTGGATGCATTAGCTTTCGTTTCAACATGCTTAGAAAATTTCAGCTCCTTGTCGACATAAACTCCGAGATCTTTTTCCACACTAGACTTCTCAATCATTACTCTCTTGTTGTAACCATGTCTCCTCATACTGTAATCTTGCTGTTCATTGTTCTTCCCGAAGTGAAGTAACTTAGTGATGTCGGCGCTGAAGTGTAGGCCTGATGTGGCCTGTCGCCGACTTTAGTACTTTACACTTGTCAACAGTACTTTATCGCCGACTTTAGTACTTTACACTTGTTACACTTACAAGTACTTAACACTTGTCAGCATTAAACCGCAGCTGCCACGTATCAGCACAGTTAACTTAACTGACAACATCATCTTGCAATTGCGCTTTACTTGACGCATCCTTCACTTTTTTATAAACTTCTGTGTCTTCGGCATACATGGAGCATAGGCTGGACACTGCTTCTGGCAGATCGTTTATAAAAGTAATGAACAAAATAGGCCCAAGAACGCTTCCTTGTGGCACGCCACTGCGCACTGATGCCTAGTCTAACACGGTTCCGTTAATGCTGACACGTTGTCGTCTACCTACATTTTTTAGTGCCTGATTCTCCGCAACATTGACAAGCCGCCGGAGCTGCTGTATACTAGAAAGCCTCTGATCCATTAGAATAGAATAGAAGTGTCGGCACTGAATAAATAGCCCCATGGCCTGTTGCCGATTCTTGAATTTTTCGTGACTTGATTCACAAGGGATCCGGCCTTTGGAACCCGATCTTTCCATAACTGACGGTTGATTGAGATAGCTGCTAGACTTATTGCCTGGTCCGTAATTTGCTAGGCCTTTTAAGACTGAACATATGCTCCTGCATAGCTTCGTCCAGTCTGTTTTTGAAGGCGTTCATACTCGGAGCGTCAACGATGTTATCAGGGAGGCTGTTCCAAATGTCGGTGACTCGAAGCGAGAAGAAATGTGCGTACTCCATTGGAAACGTACTCCATTGGAGTACGTTTCCTTCAATTCCCAAAGACTTCATTTTACGTAACAGCTGCTTTTGCGGAACACTATCATATGCTTTGGCAAAATCGAGGTGCAATGCATCCACTGGCTGCCTTTCGCCCAGCAGGCTAGTCCAATCGTTCAACGTACACAATAAGTTAGTGGTGCAGGATCTACCGGCAATAAAACCATGTTGACAATCTGATAGATGATGAACAGTCAAGTGATCGATAATCCTATCCCTCACAACAGATTCCATTACCTTACAAACAACACTCGTCAGACTGACAGGGCGATAGATGCCGGGGCTACTTTTGTCACCTTTTTTGAACAATGGTGTTACTTGAGATTCTTTCCAATCGGACGGCAAAGTTCCTTCATTCAATGTTTTTTGAAAGAATAATGTCAATGGGCCGGCCAGAACGGCTGCTAATTCTTTGAGCAATCTGGGATGAAAGCCGTCTGGCCCACATGACTTGTTTGGATTTACAGCGATCAGGCGTCTGAGAACTTCTTCTTGTATTTCAAAATTTATTAATTTTGAGTCGACTGGGCGCTCCTCAATATCTGGAATACTGTTCCAGTCCTCATCTGTGAACACACTGCTTAAAAACTGATTAAGAACGTTAGCCTTGCCCTCATCAGAGGAAATCTTTCTTTGGTCTATTCCCAAATCAGATATACCGTTGTTTGTCTTACACTTCGAACTAGCGTACAAAAAGAAGGCTTTCGGATTCTTTTTTGCGTTTTTAGCAATATTTTTTAGAAGTTTTTCACTGCAGTGCGACAGACTTTTTTAGCTTGATTTCGAGCCCTTGCATACAGGTTATAATCAGAATCGCTGCGAGTTCGTCAATAACGCTTGTATGCTTCCTTCTTGGTCTTTAGCTGAGCTTTAACTGTACCGTACATCCACTGGGACTTTTTGACTCCTCCAAGCGTAATCTTAGGTACGCAGGCATCAACTGCAGACATAACCGCTTCTTTGAGAAATGACCATGAATCAGCCACATTTGTGTCCTTAAAACAGTCCGAAATATTCGCCGCATTCAACGCCTCACGGAGTTTACCATAGTCGCCTTGCGCAAAGTTCAAACATTCACGTTTCCGAAGCGTCTTTTCTGCACAGCACTTAATAGTGAAAAACAATGATTGGTGATGGCTTTTGCCCGACGGAGCCTCGTGGCGAAGCTCGTTTATCAATGATTCTTCACTAATAAACACTAGATCTAGAATATTTAGGGTCCGCCTGATTCTCTCCTGCCATTTCTTGCGAAAAACCACCCTCTCTAATGGGGTGGAATCTTTCTTTACAAAAACTGACGTGTAATCAGCCCCTTCTCGAAGCTTTTTCTCTGTTTTCAGCACGCTCCAGACCTGAACAGGATCCTTTACATTCGCCAAAAGAGGTCTGCAGGTGAGGTCTGCAGGTGTTGGCAGCAGCATCCTTCGAGCGTAGCTTCTTGCACTATATAACATTAATCGGTGTGTTGAGCACCTTGCTGCAACATTCTACAACAAATGCCGTGTCATCCATCACTCGGTCCTTCGCATCAGATGCGGTACTATCGGGAATCCCAAGCCAAAACAAGTTGGCCTTCCTACGTTCTCTAGCAAGTAATTCACGTGAGCTTTCGCTAGCTACTTCAGATAAATCAGCTCTCTTGTTCTTTACGTCTATTTCTTCTGTATTTTTCAGCTGAACCTTCACTTCAGTCATCTCATTGCATAGCGAGCTCAATTTGTCACTCAGCGAGCGCACCATCTCACTCAAGGAGTTTACTACATCATTCAACGATTTCGATTCATTGCCGTGCTCTTCCACCGACTCCTCGCTTTTTCGAGCACCAAGAATTTGTTTTTAGCAATCACGGCAAAACCAATGAAGTAATTTAGATTTCTGGAGAAACGAGAACTCCTTAGAGCTCATCTTCGAACAGCTGCTACAAATGAGATCTTCGCATCGTTTACAGATGACCGTCTGGACTTCGCTCGGAGAGATCTCTTTGCAGTACCTGAAAACTTTCATCTCTAGCTAGGCTGATTTGGTTTCATTTTTTTTCTAGAGGCCGTAGAGGGCTTTTCGACTCTTTTTATTTTCTGTCCAGCCATTTTAAAATGCTCGAACTAGACCTCTTGAACGGAGAAAAGGACGGAGAAAAATACAAAAGAGAGTTGAGTTGAGTTCAGTCAAATTCCCTCGAAAATTTCGACTGGCGGAACTGCTGAGCTGTAGCTGGCGAGGGAAAAGACAGGGGTGGGCTGGGGGAATCAAGGGATCGACGCGACAGGCTTTGGAGAAGGGGAGGGATAGGGGCCAAGAGGGTGGGGAGGGTATAGGAAGACGAGGCCTGAGCGTGCTGAAGGCACCGTTGTTTTCTGGTTGATAGGCGGCCGCCGAGGGTTCCCAACAAGCTACAATTAAGCTTGCCCTCGCTACATGCACTGGCATTTGTCGGGAATAAAACAATTGTACTAGCCGCTTTTTCTCACTATTCGCAGAATTTTTACTGAACTGCACTGAAATAGAACCTTTTACTGAAATCGTTTCGGTACAAATTCGAGAGATAAGTCAAACCGGCATAGTAAAAAGTGAAAAAATAGGGACCCGCAAACACATACGTACGTCCTCGATCACGGCCAGAAAGCAACTTCAATGAAATTCGAGTCAGGTAGCCATAAAAATACTAGTTTGGACTAATTCTTGTTGTTGGATTATTTTCTAATTTCTCGTTACGTTTTAAATTTTATACAGGAAAAAAAACAGATGACTGAAAACACTATTCCTACATAACTGATTCCTTTTTTTTTGTTTCCGTACGTCAGGTTGCAAACTTGTGGCCGTCAAAGACGTGTATTTCTATGAATACGACTTGTGGCAGTGGTTTCTCCCCCTCTCCGAGATCTTTTATCGCTGCTCCTCCTACAACTGCGTGATGTTGTTCACTAGTTTTTCATGTAAGTATTGACAAACATGCGCTCATGGCAGCCTTTTATCCACGCTCAAGTCTCGCGATTGATTTTTTTCGTTCTAATGCCATATATTAAATTATGTCATAATAATAATAATTATTTTTATTATTATAATGGAACAGATCACACAGTATGGGTTTAATTTTGAATTATTGAACAGAAATTCTAGCCTCTAATTGATACAAATATTTGGGCAACTACATTAATTAAGATAAATAAAGCATTTGCGCAATTGTTTCCATGTTGAAATATGTAGCCCCATAATATAGGAGGAACATTGTGATGCACAAAAAATGTGTTACACGAGCTATCTATTAAGGTGAGTAAACTTATATACTTCAATCTAAACTAATCACGAATGAATATTCCAAATTTAATTCGTATAATTTACACTACTCTCGTCAGAATGAATAAAAGTTGCTTGTTCGGAAAACTTTCCGGGAACATATTAACAATTCAGGATCAAGCTCGAGTTCGGTCTTAATGACTTATGACCCGATTATAAGAATATAGGAAATGAAGGAGCAACGTAAAATAAATACTAAAAATAAATTATGAAGGCAGAAGATCAGATGCTCGGTGAAACACGTTACGTCACTTATAGTAGGAAATGGTCCGCTTACTCCTACATCCGTTAAAGAAATTCATTTTAAAGTTAGTTGCAAACTATCATTCCTATGTTCAAAATACAAAAACCCTTATTAGTTACCTTTCAAATGCTCTGTGCTCGGTCACAGCGGACGGGAGGACATGGGTAAGCTACAAGAACGCGACACAAGCCACAACCTCATCTTTCCTGCGCTCGGGCGAAGTCATGATCGGCTGGTTCCCTGAGTGTACCTGAACCACGCACCGTAGGAGCGGCTTGAGGAACATCATGTGTATCTGGAGGGTGAACCTTGTACTGTCGGCGCGCCTTGCGGAACATCATGTGTATCTGGAGGGTTAATCTTGCACTGTCGGAGCGGCTTGAGGAACATCATGTGTATCTGGACAGTGATCCTTGTACTGTCGGAGCGGCTTGAGGAACATCATGTGTATCTGGAGGGTTAATCTTGCACTGTCGGAGCGGCTTGCGGAACATAATGTGTATCTGGAGGGTTAATCTTGCACTGTCGGAGCCGCACGCGGTGCCTACGTGAATTTGACTATGAACTGAAAATCAAGTTGGTTGCGACATCCTGTGTGAATTATGAAACATAATACAACATTTGCTGTTGTGAAGTATTTTGGCACTAGATTTTATGCACCATTTGCTGTTGTGAAATTTTTCAGGGACGATGACTGAATCCATTTTTCTTATTAAGGATTATTCGTAACAATTTATGTTCAATATTATGTTCTGCGATGGAGTTTGGTAATATGTTAGTTACATGATCGATGTTAGTTACATAATTTTTGCTCGACATAATTACATAATTTTTGCTCGCTTATGCACAATTTGCTTTTGTTAATTTTTTTTTCTCAGTTTATCCGCCATTTCGTGGTCGTAAAATATTTCGGCGCTATAAGTTGTTCAAAATTTCCTCGGGTGAATAATTTGCACCATTTTGGAACCGTTTGGTGTCGTGAAGTATTTTTATTTTTTGAGTAATGCGTAACCAATCGGCTGCTGTGAAGCATTTTTGCTTGGCAATTTTTGAAGAATGCTCAACATTTTTTACACCACTCATCTCCACCGTGATTAAGATTACCAAGACGTTAAGATTTCCTAAAATGATATTATTATTTACATGAATGAATTACTTATGTGGCACAGTATTCCAACATATGTGATGCTCATTCTGTTGCGAAGTATCCTGGAATAAATATATACATAGTTTCTCGTTTACCTGTTATTTGATAGTTTATCATGTTAAATGACTTATACCTACAATAAAAGTGCAGCGGTGATGAATTGACACAATAGGAAGCCCCTGATTAAGAATCCTTTTCGACTAATTAATGACTTTAAGATTCCTACGATTTCTTGGGGCCTACGTCATGTAGTATGTGTCCCGGACTACGTCATGTAGTATATGTCCCGGTCTTTCCCACTGGCCTGGTTTCCGGGAATCGCTAACTGGGCTGACCATTGGAGGCGCACCCACCGCCATTTGTAACAATAATGCGTTTTGATTATTTTGCTGCTCAGCGAAGCTTCGCTCTCCAGATAATCTTTTCTGACTGTTTACTTTCTTCATTTGGGGCTCCCTACGCTGTCTTTCCTTCACTCTTCATCGTATTTTTGTTCTCTTTGGAGAGCACAAGCCGGCCACGGCTTATTACACCCCGTTACTCACCGTTTTCTGGTTCCGGTGCAAGGCTTTCCCCAGAATATATTCGGTCAATCCACCCCTAAATCGCAGACTGAATCTGTCTATGCTCTTTTCCAATTTTCTATTCCCCGTATATCCTCTTGTCCAGGGGTTCACAATCTTTGTGTGCTTGCACAAAACTTGGAGGTCTAGAAGAGTCTCTATGCACCACCTGGTACCACCACGTACCGTCAATACGATATATATGTCACTAATGTGCACTATTGTTTGCTTTATATATTCATACTCATATATTCTTATGAGTGTGAATATATATATTATATATATATATTACTCATACATCTTATTCTTACTCATATATTCTCTTAACAATTAGTTTATTTGAAATGTGTGCTGTGTGAATTTATTGGTAGGGCTCCGAGGCCAGAAGTACTACAATTCGGTCTCCTCCATCTCTCACGCCGAGACGGGATGCAAACATTATGGCCATGGATATTGCCATCCCATCAACAGCTCCCTCTCGGCACCATCAACCATGGATATTGCCATCCCATCAACAGTTCCCATCTCGGCATTATCAACCTCTATATACTCTTATATTTTGCCCTTCAGACTACAGCACAGCAATGGATATAATTTTCACAATCTTGAACAATTACAATCATTACATTATCGTCAGAAACTTCAATACACGGAATGCCTTTGAGTAATTCTTCATATACAAGAAAGCCTTGTCAAAGAGTGTTGTCATAAAAAAAGCAGATCTTCGCCTACTCCTCAACTTTCGACCCTTCTTCCTTGACATGTGGCTTTGAACTCTGATCATACCCCTCAGTCTTCTCGCGCTCTCGTCAATCTTCCACGATGTGCTCCAATATTTTGTCAGCGGTGCGTAAATTTTCGCAATGCTGAACGGCCAGTTTCATGGTCATCTCTTCTGGCTTCTGAAAAGGCTTCTCTCCAGTCATCTACTGAAGAACTCGTGGCATTGTCAAGTACCCGGATGCCAATATTTTGCGTTGCCAGTAAAGCTGTTGAGACCTCGCAATAATAACTAGGTGTTATTATTGTTATTAACTAGGTGCGCTTAATATTCAATAGGATGATCGAGTTGTCTATCTCGTCAGTTAGTCAAAACTGTGCCACATTCATCTGTAGCAGCTCTACTTAGTAATTCATTTTGTCGGATGATTCGGTAAGAGCTTCGGTTATACGTTTCAGATCCTGCAATTTACGGTGTGCTTAAATAAAATCATGCAACTTGCAACTTTGTGTTTCACCCTCTAATTGTTACAGAAACTTATGAAATTCGGGCCTTTTTAAGTGCTGAATTGAGCGTGGGATTCCATAGAATTGAACTTTTCAAAATATTCGTTTAGAATTAAGCGGAGTAGTTCAAGAAAGTGTAGATATTGAGCTCGTTTCTACGATTATTGTACATTTACTTGAAAATAAAATGCAAAACCATTAACATTGAGTTGATAGATACTTACATTACTCGGGACGGAAATTTGAATCAGATCTGACGGCAAAATAAAGATCCTGAGGTGACGCCTTGCGAAGACGGAACAACTGATGCAACTCAGGCAACGTATTACGTAGACTAACAGAGTATCTAGCTTGACTGCTAGACTGGAAAAGTAACAATTAAACCGTGGTAGAACAGAGGTTTGAGCAGAATATGTATCACTCGAAATCGTGGGGGTACATGTTTTGGGGGTACATGTATCACTCGGAATCGTGGGGGTCACTCGAAATCGTGGGGGTAATCGCATGTTTGTCAAGAATTTAAAAGCAAAGAAAACAGTCGAAGAATTCACCAGTTCTTGAAAATGAAAACGTTTTTGAGTCCAGCTCACTCGTCATTTCAAAACCTAAATCAAAAGTACAAACAATTAGGAAACTAAATTTACATTGAAGATTTTAAAAAATAATTCGTCAAATGAAAACAAATAAGAATGAAGCAAATATTAGCAGACAAATCTATCTATTTACAATTTTAAGGGGATATGAACTGTAGGCGGCATTTAAACTAGGCTTCTGTTTAAAAATATAGTGTAAGAAGGTTATCCGCACTACTTGTCGGAATAGTACTTGTTGTAAGGCCTAGCCAGTCAAGTTGAAGCACTTTGTCTCTGATTTCCTTGTGAGGCTGACTGAGCTATTATAGGCTGCAGTACGCTATTCTCAGGTACGCGTGAATTTGGATCAGTGCTCTTCCTTAAGTGGCCGTGAATTATTGTTTTTTAGATTATTGAATTATCTTTCTGTATTGTTCATTTTGATGTGTATTTATTTGTGTCATTTGTTTGTCTCTGCAAGACAGAGCGAAGTCCCTTTCCTCTCTAGAAGACTCTCTATAGTTATAGTCTCTCCTTAGTGTAATAGTCTACCTAGTAATGATCGTGATTCTGAACTGTTCTTGAATAAATATAAAAACTTTAAACCACTTAATTGAACCCAACATCATCACATATAGGGACTTGAAAATTCGCAGATCAGAAACACCGGTTGTGGAGACTAAAATTCTAGAATCACTATCGGCACCGGGAAGTTGAACTGCTCGGCATGAACGCGTATACTGCTGAATGAGATGGATGCGGAAGCAGGTTTCCTGTTCTAAAACTTCTTCCTTTGTGCTCCGGACTTCATTTAGCATATACCGGACTGTATTTTGGGGTAATATAGTGCGGCGTTCATTTTAGGAGAACGAAACATTATATTTTTCTCCTACAGTTATAATTCAAATTTCAAACCTTTTATTTTCGTTTTATTTCCCCCACAATTTTGAACCTTAAAAGGTATGCTCACAAGCATGAACATACTGAAAAAATTTATTTCTAGAGTGTTCCAAAAAATATACCAAAGCATTTATTGTGAATTAACATGGAGATAAGAATTCGAAGGTGTTTTCGTTATTTTGGCCAGGGTAAACTCGGATCTTAACAACGCACGCCCTTTGTGTGAATATGGATCTGTTGCAGATCATTTCTTATGCCAAATCAGTCAAGATTGCGATAAAGTTTATCGTCTAAGAGCAGTAAATTGACTCAGATTTTCCATCGATCAATTTTCTTTGGTACAAATTATGAAAACTGATGAGCAAAAACGCCTCAGAAATTATCTGACTTTGCAGAGCTGATTTGCAGAGCATTCACAAGTGGAATTGTGAATCTTCCCTGCTCTTTATAAATCACAAAAGATAAAATTAATACCGTTCCGGCAGATTCACAGTGATTGGGAAAGGGATAGTAGGAGAAATAGTGGGGTGGGATGGGATACGCATTTTGTTGAGAAAAGTTATATTATGTTCCTCAGAAATTATGAAACTTACCAAAAGTCCAAAAGTTACGTTTTTATGCTGACAGCGATGATTCTTTCCATGAAAATTTGAAAGAAATTTGTCCAACTTGAAAAGTGGCAATCGATTTTCCACATCAAAAGCAGAAGGAAAGATTTGTTTCAAGTTCAAAACTAAATAAAATTATGACAGGTAAGAAATCGAAAATAACTCGTAAAAGGAAACGATAGTTTGTTGAAAGATATTCAGTAAATTTAAATTCAATATAGTCCTTTATTGCATCGGTCAACTTGTTAATCTCAACTTCTGATTTGCTACAACATTAGCAGAGCATCACTCTATGTGTAGCATTTACTAAAAAATTGCGGAAGTTTGAGCGCTTGGTAGTTTTGTTTATTTTAAAGGTAATCAATCATTAATTAGTAATCATAGTGTGGGTAATACAGAAATCCAAACACACAGTCAATATAAGGCTTTAGAGCTTTTATGTGGCATTAATCATTGCCTAACAGTTAATTGGTGATAGTGAGTCACAATGTGCGTGCTACGGGAACGATGCCCCATCACCGGCTACTCGGAGGGCTTTATACCTCACATTGTATCTCACCTACGCCGCGGGGCTCGGCAGGCTCTCTATAATGGCGGCGAAATCTGTAGATGAGTTGTTTGCATGGCGATTCTCTATCGAATT